GAAAGAGAATGATGAGTAATTCTATGTGCTATCAACGACGTATTAGAAGTCACTCTTTATGCCAGATCTTGATAAGGGGAACCAAAAAAAAAACTCTTTGCTATTTTACCTTTTTCCTCTAGTACTTATTTTAGGCACAATTATAAATCTTTGAATATATTGCTATTCCATAAGTACTCTTTGTATTAAATTCAAAGTTTGGGTTTTTCTATTATGTCCTTAAAAGTATAGCACAGAATAAGCATATAAAATAGAAAGGATGGACTCGCTATAAATTTCAATTATTATTATTTATTTTTTGAATTATAAAATCTTGTTCAAATAAGTGGAAAATAGATCCATCTTCTATCGTGTGTCCTGAATAGAACAATTCGTAAAATTTTAAACCTTGTTACTTGACTACGTCTCAACCATCGATGATTTGCAAAGATTTGCTGATTAGACAATTATATACCAGATCCATCATCGAGGTGATTGACTGTGGCACGACAATTCGTCCTTGAGACCTGATCTTCATGGTTTCATTATTCAAAGCTAGAAATGAAACCATTCAATGCTATAGGTCACTTAACCATAGCACAGGGGATACGGCAGCATAGATGCCAACTTTATTCACTTTCATTCTAAATTGGCCCTTCTAATGGCACGGGAATTAAGAGATGGAGAGGGGTCACGATCGGTAAGTATGCCCGCCCCGTAGGTATAGAAATGGGGTGGAGAGAAATGCGGAGTGGGAGTAGGGGTTGCGGGAATTTGTCTCAGTACCATCCCCACCTAGAAATTAAATAAATTAATTAATACGTAACTATATTTGTCAATATCTATGTACATATTATATATAGTAGGGGTGGTGGGAATTTGTATCAGTACTATCCCCACCTCTCTCTCTCTCTATATATATATAGACACACACATACACATACATACATATACATTATAATTTGAAAACTCATGATATCATGATTTGTGTGGTAAAATGATGATTTTGTTATTTTTAGTTTACTGAATTTTTTTTTGTGTATTGCATGTTTGCAATAAGATAATAATAGTAGCAGATATTACTTTAGTTATGCTAATAAATATGGAGAAATATTTTTAAAAGATTAAAGTATATTTTAAACTTAATTTCATGTTGAATTGTAGTTAAAAGTTCAAAAGATTGATTTATACAGTTATTTGTTGATATTATATATGAAAAATTATGAAAAATAGAAGTTTATTTTGAACCACCCATTGGGGCACCCATATTGGGTAGTGGGGTGGGGGCAGGAGGGATAGCTTAGGGCAAGGGGAAGTTTTTAAAGCACATTACGGGAGACGAGAGAGGGTTCTCTAATTCCAAATCCATCTCGTTATCACTCCTAGTCACCAACTCTTTAAAACCCAGAAATTTTAGTTTTCCCTCACATAAGATTTGAAGTAAATGTTAACTTCTACCTCCCAAAAAAATGCTATAAAATATTATTATAAAATTAAATGTTATTTGTATAAACTATTTTTCGATCAAAGTAATTGTTATGCTTCCTTACGTAGGTAACATAGCAATGCCAGTATAATTTCAATAAAAAATTTAAGGATAATCTAAAATTTGGATAAACATCGTGAAGTAAAGGTGATGAACCATTTTCAAGCACAATAGCTAATAGACTCTTAAAAGTCAATATTCAAGTTTGGAATGACAAAACTTGCTTTCTTCATGTGCCCAAGATGAGTTTTTTTAGATTTTGATTGTCAGATTTGGAATTGTTTGGATCTATTCGATAGAGCTCACCATATTATCCTGTTTTTTGATATCTGTGTACGTTTAATGATGTAATTTTTATCATTAATACAAATTTTAATAAAATTATGATATTTTATATAAAAAAGGATGGAGGTAATTATCCAGGGGTTTACCAAGTCAACATAATTTGTGGGCCCAAGGGATTTGACAAGGTTTAATTTATATTGTATAGGATAGGTATTTTATAGGTATTTTAATGGATAGGGTTTGATTTAGATCCCTTTGATCTACATTCATACTTATTAAATTTAGTTAGACCCAAACACATACCCAACCCCTTATGGGTTTGAAAAAGTAAACTCAAACTCGAACATTCATAGGTTTAGGTATTCAACGGGTATTCGTGAATACTTTTTTGAACATACAATGAAGAACCAAAGTAAAAATATTTTGAAAATATATAGAGTTAAAAAATAACATAAATATCATCCAATTTTATTTTCAAATAATAAAATCAACATTCATGATATTGAACACAATATTATGAACTCAAAGAAAGAATTATTATCAAATAAAACTATTTGTTTTCAAAGTTTCATCTCTGTCTATATTCAATCTTTTATTTATTTGCTTTCATTTTTTCTTTTTATCTTGAAAATGTTTGTCCTAATTATAATGACATAGAATATTAGGTTATTTTCCGAATTTACTGATACATACACACACATAGAATATTGCATGGGTATTGGTAGGGTCTAATTTGGATTTGAATTTGGATCTAAATCATAGAAAACCATACTCCACCCAAATTCATGATTCTCTTGCGGGATCTAGATTTGGTTAGGGTCTGGGTTAATAAATTAAACCTAAACCCTACTCAAATATATTGGATTTGGATTTGATTTAGATAAAATCTGACCCATTGATATACCTAGTTCGGTATCATAGGCTACCCTTAAAACAGTGTGTTTAGGTGAAATATGGATGAAATTAATTGGAATAGCACCTTTTTAATTAGATAAGACATCATTGTCAGCCTATAATCTAGTTCCGTATACAACTTCTTTTATAATCCAAATCTAGAACGTTGCATTCGATTAATAATAAACAATAATGTTGATTAATGAAACATACGGTGGCATGAATAATTGAAGAGTGCACCTATCTTTTATTATGTTCCGTGAATAGAAGAATACGAAAAGTTTTAAACCTCTTGTTACCTAACTTTCATCTCAACCATCAATGATGTTTTCAAAATTTGCTAATTGGACAATAACATACCAAGAATCACGCCGTTGCATGATCCATCTTCGAGTTCAATGATTGAGACACGACAATTTGTCTAGCATTTTCATCTTCCTGGTTTCATCAGTCAAAGCTGGAAATGGCATGAGAATTAAGAGGTCACCTCCTTTCCATAGCGATTTAAACCATAGGGCTGATAGATGCCAACTTTATTTACTTTCCCTCTAAATTGGCCAATCCAATGGCATGAGAATTAAGAGGTAGGGAGGGGTCATGATAGGAATGGATGCCCGTCCTCCAGGGAGAGAAATGGAGTGAAGAGAGGTGTGGAGGCAGGAGTGGGGTGGTGGGGATTTTTCTCCCCTCACCATGTGGCTCCATCCCCGCGCCATCCTTGCCTATAAATTAAATAAATTAATTAATATGCAGCTATATTTGCCAATATCTATGTACATATTATATTATTTATAATTTTGTAACAATAATAGTAACAGCTATTAGGTTAGATTTGCTAACAAATACGGAGAAATGTTTTTAAAAGATTAAAGTAGATTTTAAACATAATGTAATGTTGAGTATTAGTTAAAAGTCCAAAAGATTGATTTATAAAGTTATTTGTTAATATTATTTATGAAAACATAAGATTAAAATAAAAAAATTTATTTTTAACCACCCATCAGGGCATCCTAGTTTGGTAGAGGGATGGGGAGGGGGTAAGAGAAGTTGGGGGATAGCACTGAAGCCAGGAGAAGTTTTTAAAGCACCAGGAGGGAGATAGGTGAGTGTTTCCTAGCCTCATATCCACCTCATTGCCATTCCTCTAGCCACCGACTCTCTAAAGGCTAGAAATTACAGTTTTCCCTCATTAAAGGTTTGAAAGCATAAATGTTAACTTTTGCCTCCAAAAAAATTTATAAAATTTAATGATAAAAAGTTTTATATATATATATATATATATATATATATATATAGTTTTTTTTTAATCAAAGTAATTGTTATGCTTCCGTGTACGTAGCAAGGCCAGTATAATTTCAATAAATATTTGAGAATGATCTAAAATTTGGATAACATCATGAAGTGCAGGTAATGAACCATTTTCGAAGACAGTAGCTGATAGACCCTTAATCATAAGTCAATTTTAAAATTTCGAAGCGATAAACTTGCTTTCTTTATTTTTTAATGTGACCAAGGAGGAGGTAATTATCAATGGGTCTACCAAATCAACGTAATTTGTAGGCCTCAGAGATATGACAAGGTTTAATTTGTACTATATGGTTCCATGGGTTACCTTTGAAACACTGCATTTAGGTGGAATATGGATGAAATTAATTATAATAGCAGCTCTTTAGGTGAGACATCATTGTCAAGCCTAGAACTAGTTCCATATAGAACTTCTTATATTATGCAAACCTAGCACCTTGCATTTCGACTAATAATAAACAATGTTGGATTAATGAAACATCTGGTGCGAAAAAATATATATATATTCTGAACTAGGGATTCAGTGGATAGATACAAGAATTAAAACTTTGAAGTTGAAAATAACCACAATCATGGATCCCAAGACAAGAAAGCTTGGGGGATCTCTGAAAGTTCCTTTTGTCCAAGAGTTGGCTAAGGAAAATCCCTCTCCTGTTCCAACCATGGTTCGAAGTCTCGGCCAAGACTGAGACAACTCGGCCGAGTCGTCACCGTCTCGACCCCTACTGATACAATACTGTGACGAAACGATACCAAGATACTTGACTAGCCGAGAAATCGGTCGAGACGTCACCGTGACGGATTGACTCGGCCGAGTCACTCCAAGTTATCCCGAATCAAGACGAGAAATCGGCCGAGTCACACCGCGACGGATTGACTCGCCCGTTTCTTTTGCTATTTTTTATTATTTTTATTTAGCATACTTTTTTGTATTATTAATAATTTTGAGAATATTAAATGCTTTAAAATTTGCGTCTCACCAAGACCACAACCGATATGTCGAGACCGATGTGGAACGTTCCGAGCCATGTTGCGGTTGTGACTTTGAACCATGGTTCCAACTCGTTACATACGCCCCGACAAAGACCAATGTCCAACCATCTCTAACGGTGGTTCTTTCCACCAAATACCAGTTGTGGATATGCAATGCTTGTTTAGTTCTGCTGTGGAGGTAAGTGATTTGGAGCTTCAGAAGCTGCATTCTGCTTGCAAGGAGTGGGGTTTTTTCCAGGTATATATACAAGGATTGAATGTATGACAAACATATATTTGTGTGACAAGCTATTGTATATTTGAAATAGTTTGATTATACAACTTTTTTACAAAACTAAATTACCAAGTGTTGTTAGTTCAATATTTGAACCATCGATTTTGTGTAAGGTTTGAACCCTAACCAACATTCTAGAAAGGAACTTTAAATTTTCTTGGTGGCCACTAGACCAAGACTCTATGGTTACCCTTTTTAAGGTTTGAGACCATCCCACTTTCTTTTTTTGTATCGAAAAAAAAGAGAAACCATCTTCAAATGAAATCAAAGTCCTATGAAAAATGAATCACTTGATGACTTAATCATCTTTTACCTGAATTTTACGAGTGCAAATCAGTTGAAAGTATACATATGCTTATGTGCTGTTCCATCCAGACGCTATTACTTATGAGAATAACTGTCAGCGGCTGATTAATCATGGAGTTAGCTCTTCATTGGTGGAGAAATTGAAATCAGAAGTTCAAGATTTTTTCAATCTGCCGATGGCTGAAAAGAACAAATATGGTCAAGAACCAGGAGATGTAGAAGGATATGGGCAGGCCTTTGTCAAATCAGAGGAGCAAAAGCTTGACTGGGCTGACATGCTATACATGATCACTCAACCAGAAGATTTAAGAAAACCTCATTTATTCCCTAAGCTGCCTCTTCCTCTAAGGTATATTTGACCAACCATGCACAACACACACAAAACGGGAAATTTAAATCAAGTGTCCTATCTTTAGTCCTGTAATTCTTTAACCATGCAGTTTTAGGATAAAAACTGTTTTTGACATGAACTAACATACGTAGTATGCTAAAATTTTAGCCAAACTGTACTAGTAGTTACTGAACTTTCTTGAATTAAAAAAAAAAAAATTGGTTGGCCGAAAAGAGACATTTATGAAAATTTAATGGCCACTACTGATGAACTTTGCCAGATGGTTTTGATTGAAGCAATTCAATGATACCATTTAATTTAACGTTTTCACGTCTATCTAAATTTGAACGCTAATGCATCAGATAGGTGAGATTTTTTAGTAGGTAAAGTTGATTTTTCTGTAAAATTACCTACTGAGAAAGATAGAATAAAAGAATATGTTGATGTGATAATTTTTAAAGCTAACATTTCAGATTTATGTTTAGGGAAGTATAAAGATCAAGAAATGGCTGAATACATGATGACGAAAGGTCAAGCAAAAAAATAAGCTGAAATGCCAATGAGAAATTAATTACCCTGCCGCCCTCCATCCACTATCTCCCAAACCAAATAAAAAGAGAAAAATATATTTAGAACAACAATATGAATAATTCAAAACATTAACCTATTATACATATGCTAGTAAGTGCACTAAGGCTTAAGAAGCTTTCTTTTTCACTTTTTGTGAGATTGAGAAAAATAATGACCTGCCAAGAATTTCCGTTTGTGTTTTGATCAAAGATGATTTTTTTTTAATAAAATATCATATTTTCATAAAAATTTACACTAATGGTAGAAATTATATCATCAAATATATACAAATATCAAATAACAGATTTGAAGAAAGGATACTACAGATATGAAGAACAATAAAAATTATATTATAAAGCTCCAAATTTAAAAAATAAGAAAAAATAATTGTAGCTCCATGGATATCTATGTATGCTTGTAATCGTCAAATCTGCTAATTAACGGCTTCAAGTCCATATATTATAGTGAGATCTACCGAATAGATCTAAGAAATTATAGATCTAATAATCAAAATCTGAAAAACTCAAATGTTGTAAAAGAAAAATGAAAAAATTATCAAAAACTCTCACTAGGAATCCTTAGGAGAGAATAAAACTCCACTAAAAAATTTAGGAGAGAAGAAAACACTTACTAGATAACTCTAAGGAGAGAAGATGACAGGTGTCGAGCCTGTGCAATAATAATTACCTACCCAAGAAAAATACAAATTTTGTATAAAGTGGTGAGTAGGATCGAATCCACAGAGACTGGGGATAATCCGTTTCTTCTAGAGTCCGAAGTATAGGGGATTTTTGGAGAATATAAAATAACTAATTAACTAACTAATGAAACAACTAATAGAAATAAACAAGAATTAATCAATAACCAATACGACTCTAGCCAAAGATGCAATGTTTTGAGACACGGTTCATTCAACTAATCATCGATGCAAAGATAATTCAATTACTCATTAATAGATTGGTTATAGTTGTCATACACACGACAAACAACCAACTTTTCCTTACTTTTTAGATAATCAAGGTACGACTGTTAACTATTTTTCTAACCAAAAAATAACCCTACGTACGACCGTAGGATTTAATTTCTAGATTGCATTAAGAATTAGAAAACCCCATCCAAAACTAACAAACACGCTACGAGGGTTTGTTTAAATTAGATCATGCGTTTCCCTAACATGGAACCAATCACGCTAGTCGACACTGGTATTAATCAATTGAACAATTACGGATTCAATTAATTAATCTGGCAGTAAATTATTAGGTTAATTTGAATATCGGGCCCTTGACATTCAAATACCAAAACAATCATAAGAAGTTAAGCTAGAAAACATACAAATATCAATGAATAAAAGAAATAAGTAAAATAATTTGATCTCACAGATGTTTGGAATCAAGTCTTCAAGTTGACCTTTGACTAGATAAGGAACTTAGCTACGCCTCATAGAGAAATTTCCATGCGAATTAGTAGAATTCATGAATATCAAACTTTGTTCTTAAAACAATCTAATATATTTCACGCAAGAAGAATAAAGGCACGAAGAAGGAATTATCTCCTATCTTGCGGCCTCGGGGCGAAGATGAATAATAGAAGAATCTCCCTAATCTAAACAATGACTAGTCCCTCATCTCGTTGGTTTTTCCACCGAATAAGGAAAACAAAGAGATAAGGCAACTACTGAAGTTTCCTTCTTTCTTGTTTCCTAATGCTAGTAAACTACTAGTCATGAAAGGAAAGGCATTGGTTTAGCACATCTTGGAGCCGGATTTGCAAGGATTCTCAAGGCTTCCCACGTGCATGGCATTTTCTCAAGAAAGTCACCCTTTTTAGTACTTTTCTACTCCATTTCCTGTAATTAGGTCCAAATACCAAATATAAGTATATTTCAATAATTAAAACAATATTTGACAAGGACAAAAAGGAAAATTAACCATAAAATTAATAACAAATTATGCCTTATCAATTCCCCCATACCTAAACCATGCTTGTCCTCAAGCATGAGAACAACAAATCAAACAATCAAATTCAAACAATGGCTATTGCTCAAATCTTCTATTGTCAAGATATAATTAAAACATATGTCAAGCATTAGTGATTAAGTTTCAAGAAATATCTCTCCGATTATTTTTCAAAATCTAAGACTTTTCCAATTTTCGACTAACTAACCTAAGAATATAAAATATTCAACTAACATTCGTAAGCAAATGGTTCAACTATGAAGCAAAATCTCAACATTAAAATTCATGAATCAGCGGGATAACGATTCTTTCAAACATTTCCACATGTTCACTATTAACACATTTTTTTTCTAAAATATTCCCGCACTTGATTGATTTTTTTTCAGGGGAAATGCTTAGGTTTTAGCCATTTAAGTGTTTTGATGCGGACTTCGACATTGGCCAAATGAAGGAGCCCGGTTACTCAGCCATCATTGTTTAAAAACCACATACTCATAGCTATCGTCGCTTTTTGACGCGAAAATCGACACTTATGGTAAAGACCTCCGGTTACTAGGCAACGATACTAGCGGAGTAAAACCAAACATGATTCAAATAAGCATCAAAAATAAATTAAAGATCACACAAGCCCACTTCATTTCTTAAATATGGAGAACTAAGATTAACAGTTGAACCAACTTTCATAAAAATGCTAGACAAATATTTACAATACTTAGACAAGTTAACCAAAAAGTGCAAACGTCACAAAATCTCAAATATTCACCAAAGAGATACCCTTAAACTTAACCATGTCATACCTAACACCTTAGCGTATAAAATCTTAGCAATAGAAAAATTTGAGACATCTAACCATCGTTTATCTGGAACACTCACAAGTATGCATAAAAATAGGCAAAAATAGGCAAAAATTGGATAAAATTCGACAAAATCAAACAAAAAATTTCAACAAAAATGCCTACACTTGCACTTTTTCAATATATTATCAATATACTACTCCCCCCACACCTAAATCTTACATTGTCCCCAATGTAAGAGATAAAGAATAGAATACGAAACAAAAGGGACAACGAAACTTCCCTAATAACTGTTGGGGCCATGGACAACTACGGGTGAGAGGAAAATGATTGTGGAGCTCGACGTAAGTTGATGGTTGGCAGTGGTGTAGTTCGAATGAAGAGGGATGGAAGAAAGAAGGAAGAAAGAAAAAGAAAAGAGAAAGAAAATGGAAAAAGAAAAGGAAAAGGAAGAGAAAAGAAAAGAATTTTTGTTTTAGAACCATTGCGTTACGCGTGGGCACGCCAAGATAGGGAAAAGTAGTCTGATCTTGGGAATTGCTTTTCGCAATTTACCACGTGCCCTCCTCGCGTGGACATGCCAAGATTTGGAAAAGTAATCTGATCCTGGGGTGACTTTTTTGCAATTTAACGCGTGCCCTCCTTGCATGGGCACGCCAAGATTCCATGACCTACCTGCGTTGTGAACAATTGAGGTTTTATCAACATGGCGTGGGCATGCCATGTTTTGCAAAAGTCTCCTGACCATGAGGTTGAGGCTTGCAAGATTAACGCGTGCCCTCTTTGCGTGGCCACACCAAGATTACCTATCCTAGTCATAGTGGAGGAAAATATCAAGATTGACTAGCACTCAAGTGTGAAACGATAAATTTAAAGCAATGAACAACGAAAAAAATAAGCAAAATCAATATTTGGGTTGCCTCCCAAAAAGTGCCTTTCTTTAACGTCTCTGGCTAGACATTGTCATGTTTTTTCGGGGAGGATAAAATTTTGTGACTTGTTTCAGTGCTTCATTCTCTAGATAATCCTGATAGCCCTCGTAAATAAAGTAATCCTTAAACACACGAGCTACGGTATTCCACGGACTAGTAGATGGCGCCAAACAAGTCAACAATAACCTGAATTCTCCACTCACTCCTCCATCACGTGCATTTATTGGTCCAAGATATTTTGCCATCGCCACTCTTAACTTATTCCTGTCATGAAATTCAAAATTTTCTGGTATAATAAAATCAATCTCACTAACAGAAATTGAAGAATAAGAGCCAGGAGAATATTGATTAAGGAATGGAGAAAATGTCACCGCATTTGGAGATTGTTCACAGGATTCATTCACTTGGACGAGTTCATATTGGGGTTTCATTTCTTGCACTTCAACTTCCTTTTGAACTGCATCTTTAGATCCGTTTTCTTGAAACTCTTGCAGTTCCATGTTATTTATCCGGATAATTGCACTCTTATCTTTTTCAAGGTCGATGTTAGTCTATGAGAGCAATTCTAACATCGATGATGGCTGTTGCTATTGATATTTATGTTGAAAATCGATTGGGTCTGGTGCATAATTAAAGTTGGAGTTGTCCCACCATCTTTGATTATACCCATTTGAATAAGGGTCATGCCACGTTCGAGATTGTAGTGAAAAACCTCCAAACTTATTGAGATAGGCATTCAGGCAATCTTGATATTCAGATCACATACT